AACGGCAGCTTGTCAGAGAACGATGCGGGGTTACAAGTGCACCCGAGGGAAGTGCCCGCCCAGTTACCGGACTATAGAAATGGACGTTGGCATAGGTGTATTTGTAGATGATGTTACACGGCTGCACGTACAGTCGCACGCACCCCAAGCACGGTACATAAGACAGCAGCTGAACCTCGCGACCCAGGGGCTCCAGGAACATAGACTGCGCACCTCTTGAATGCAGACAAGACGCATCACCTCATCAGCCTTTACGGCAGCGGCTCTTCTGAAGCAGCGCGCGAAACTTCGAAGCAGCGACGAGTCCAGGGAGAGGTGCGTCGGGAGGTTCGAATCCTGGGGCCAATTATGAGCTTCGACGGGACTTTGAGGACAGAGCACAAGCAACGCGTAGTCGAGCCCGTGCTGCATGGAGGTTGGTCGGTCAAGTTTGGCACCGGCCTCTCCATCGCCGCCTGCTGCGCACCCTGTTTCTGTGCTTCGTCTACAGCGCTGCGATGACTGGACTCACGCACATTTTGCTGCCCCGGTCCTTCACTAACGCCTTGGATTCAGTGTTGGTACGGATGCTGCGCTTCCTGATGCATGGCGAGGCAAAGCGAGAGTTTGACCAGCGCGTGCGGACCTTGAGCAACAGCGAGGGTTTCCAGCATTGGAATCTCAGCCGCACGGCGAGCGAGTTCCGCGTCCAGAGACTCAGCTGGCGGTAACCGATAACTAAGGAACCCAGTATGAAGGGGCCCTGGGACACACAAATAAATACACACAAATAACAATATTCCCCCTTTGTTTGTCATATTTTCTGAGTTTTTGTTTTCCCCCCCACTTCCCATATTTTCCAATATTTTCCTGGGAGTCGACGATTATTTGTGTCTGTGTTTTTTCCCCTCCTGACAGTAACCATCGGCAAATACTCACAACAATGTTGGAACTAGATCCCTTGCTCGAGGCCCCACGTCGCGGCATCACTGGGAGAATGACGCGGCACTCGACGCCATGGGCCATCCAGTGTAGGGACGATTTACAGGCGCTGGCCAACGCCGACCCTCGTTTCGACCAGATTTCGAGCGATCGAAAACGAACTACTGCAGGAGTTCCAGGATTCCCAGATCGGCTTGAGATTTTCCTAGATCCAAGTGGGCTCACACAGGCACTTTCTTAGCGAGGAGGGGTCGAGGAGAGTGGCTAATTTACTGAGCTGATTGGGGATTACGTCGATGATGGGGTACATACGAACATCACAGAGCACCAGCACGACGAGGTCAGCAGTCACGACAGCAACATCATATACGAATACGTTTGCACGCACGACATGGGGGAGGCGGGGGACGGCATAGCCATTCACAACGATCAAGGCACTCACAGCACACATCACACATGCGCACAACATGAGATACCTGCACTCCATAGTCGTAAGTACGAACGTATGCCCCTGGCGCAGAACATGTTTTGCGAGCAGAGCGTCATGTCTGAGGCACGTGATCACAATGTCCCGCTCCGAACCCCTACGTTGCCCGATGCGAGCCACTTCTTTCGACTTCAAGCCAGAAGAGAAGAGCTTCTATCTTTGCGGCGTGCGCGGCCGCGAAGATACCGAATTGAACGAACATCTGCTACGCGCAACTGCCACGCTCAAGAACCGAGCGATGGCGTGGAGGGGCGACTCCGCTCAAGGCGGTCGGCCACGCAGCGAGACGATGGAGTCAGCAACGGCGGGGCAGGCACCAGCACAAAAACACCAGCGTGGAGGCCAGAAGAAAGCTGCTGGCAGCTCTCGTGGCTCAGGCGAAGGCGCCACGCACGAACAGACGATGCTCATGCAGAAGCTCACGCTGAACACGGCACAGACGATGCGCATGACGTCAGGCAGCCTGTGGGACTTCTTCCTGGCAGAGGGAGAGTCTGAGCCAGTGGAGGCCGCAACAGCAGGAGTGGTCACCTACGCGCAGGAGGCCAAGACCAAGAGCAGCAAGACGATGGGCTCGCCACTCATACACGTTGGAGCGGAGCTCCTCCTGGTACTGGCGAAGCAGGAATCCCTGGAGGGCAAAACGAAGAAGATCGTTTACGAGTTCGGCCAGCTCATCGAGGTTCTGCCGATGAGCGATTCACGTGATGTTCAGTTCTTTGAGACCAACGCCGTGGACCAAAAAGTGGGAGGAGCAGATCAACGCGATCCGCCAGGGCAACATAGACGACCCGATCACGCTGGGCAACTACACGGTGCCGGATCTGAGACTGCGCGCGAGGCAGACAGTGGGCCAATCAATGTGAACGGACTCAGAGAGCTGGCCAGACGCGGAAGTGCGAGAGCCAGAGCCTTACTTGTCGTCGTCGTCGTCATCGTCGTCGTCGTCGTCGCCGCCGCCGCCGCCGCAGCCGCCATCGCGGCCGTCGTCGTCGTCGTCGTCGTCGTCGTCGTCGTTGTCGTCGTCGTCGTCGTCGTCGTCATCGTCGTCGTCGTCGTAGCCGCCGCCACCGCCGCGGCCGTCGTCGTCGT